GGGCTTTGTGGACAAAACTTTTCCAAGCTGCTTTATTGGACTTATAAAACACAGTTTAACCCTTTTCATCAAATCGCTTTGCATGAGGTGGCAGGGCAGTAAAATGCTCATTTCTCCATGGCATTCCCAATGAGTTACAGCTCGGTTTGTGGCAGGAACAATAAAGGAGATGGGAACAGAGGGGAGGGATGTGAGGGAAGCACAGCCAGCTGCTGGGTTGGCGTGAGGCTCAGACTCACCCTGAGGGCAAAACCCAAAAGCTGCAAAACGGGAATAAAGCAATTAAATGCGATGAATATTTGAATGTGGGATTGAAGGGGCTGGAATCAAGGCTGGAGCAGTGCAGGAGGCTTGGAGAACAGGCATTTCAGTGCCTGCTTGTAATAAAAATTGAGAGATAAACCATGTGGTAACAAATTATTTTCACAAATCCTGTTCCCTTCATCTCCCCAAACAGCTGTTCAGCTCCATGGCATTTCCATTCCTTTTTTTTTTTTAAAAACATAAAATTACTAAATAATTTTTTTAAGAAAGGGGATAGATGGCTCCTCCTACCTGGGGTTGGCCCAAGCACAGTCCAAGCACTGCTGTTCCCTCTCTAGGGATGGAGGAGCCCCAAATTGAAATGAGAGCTGGCACAGTCACTGGTTTGGGGAATTGTTGATTTTTTTTAAGAAACGGCACTTCCAACAATGGGATAAAACAGGCCTGGGGCCTGGCATGGCCACATTCCCAGGACAGGCTCCTCCTCATGCTCCAGTGATGCTGGAGGCTAGTGTGGAATTCCCACTTGGGTTTTTCATGGATCAGTAACAACAGGAGGTCCCTGATGGGGCTGTGTGAGGCCTGGTGTTTGCTGTGTGAGGCACAAGGACGCTGGGGACACCTTGATGTGTCTGCAGGGGACCAGGAAGGAAGATGGGCACAGACCTTTTATAAAGGCCTGGAGGGACAGGACACAGGGAATGGCTTCCCACTGCCAGAGGGCAGGGCTGGATGGGATATTGGGAAGGAATTGTTCCCTGGGAGGGTGGGCAGGCCCTGGCACAGGGTGCCCGGAGAAGCTGTGGCTGCCCCTGGATCCCTGGCAGTGTCCAAGGCCAGGCTGGACAGGGCTTGGAGCAGCCTGGGACAGGGGAAGGTGTCCATGGACATGGCAGGGGTGGCACTGGATGGGCTTTAAGGTCTTTCTGCTCCAAACCATTCCACGCTTTATGATTCCTTTACCTTGGGACAGATGTTTCTAAAGCAAAGGTTTGCAAAACTCAGCCTCACATCCCTGAAAGCTGTTCCACATCCTTGGCCTTTGAAGGGAAAGTGGAATAAAGGAGAATCTCCCTGTAGGGACCCAGCATTTTGGCATCTTTAGGTTCCCATCAGCTGCTCCGTGCCTGTGGATCTCTCCCTCCTCATCCCACAGACCTGGAGCCGCTTTTCTTTTGGAGACCCCAAAAAAGCCCACCCAACCCCCCCAGTGGTGGAAGCAGCAGGTCCCCTGGCTGGGGAGGCTCAGAGATCCCTGTCCCCACTGTCCCTGCTCCTCGAGCACGTGTCTGCACACAGCCCTGCCGGGATGACAAACGGTGCTAATGAGATTATCCTTTTAATGATCACCATGGTAACGAGCCCGGCAGCGGCACATCCCACTGGGAACCCTGCTGAGGTGCTGAATCCAGCCTGGGATCAGCACAGACACCCCTCGGCTCAGCAGGACAGGGTGGAGAGGGCTTGGAGTGGCTTTGGAGCAGTCAGAGGAGTTTTGGAGAAGCCGGAGGAGTTCTGGAAGTGTGAAAGAGATTTTGGATGTATTAGAGAGATTTTGGAAGTGTTGGAGAGGTTTTGGAGGCACCTGAGGGTTTAGGTGCTATTGGCAATACTGGGGAAGTTTTGGAGGGGGTTTGGTGCAGTCAGAGGAGTTTTGGAAAAGCCAGAGGAGTTCTGGAGGTGTTGGAAAGGTTTTGGAGACATCGGAGGATTTTGGTGGTGTTGGGAACATTGAGGAAGTTTTGGAGGAGGTTTAGAGGTGGCAGAGGAGTTTTGGAGAAGCCAGAGGAATTCTGGAGGTGTTGGAGAGATTTTGGAAGTGTTGGAGAGGTTTTGGAGGCACCTGAGGGTTTAGGTGCTATTGGGAATATTGGGGAAGTTTTGGAGAGGGTTTGGAGCAATCAGAGGAGTTTTGGAGAAGCCAGAGGAGTTCTGGAGGTGTTGGAGAGGTTTTAGAGGTGTTGGAGAGGTCTTGGAGGCATCTGAGTGTTTTGGTGGTGTAGGAAACATTGCAGAAATTTTGAAGAGGTTCTGGAGATGCTGGAGTGGGTTTTGGGAGGATTTTGGAGATTTTGAGAGGTGTTTGAGGGGTTTTGGAGATGTTGAGGATGTTGAAGGGGGTTTGGAGAGGTTCTGGAGACGTTGAGGAGACTTTGGGGAGTTTTCAGGGATTTTGGAGGTGTCAGAGGGATTTTGGAGGTGTCAGAGGGATTTTGGAAGTGTTAAAGGGATTTTCAAAAAGTTCTGGAGGAGTCAGAGGGGTTTGAAGGTGTTGGAGGGGTTTTGTAGGCAATAGAAGGTTTTTGGGTGTGGTGGAAATTCTGCAGAAGTCTGGAGGTGTTGGAGAAGTTTGGAAGGTGCTGAAGATATTTTGGAAATGTTGGAAGATATTTGGAGGTGTTTGCAAGATTTGGAAGGTGAGAGATTGTAGAGGCATTGGAGGGGTTTGGAGGGTGTTGGATGGATTTGGGAAGTTCCAGTGAGGTTTTAGAGATCTTGGAGTGATTTGGGGAAGGCTGGAGAGGTTTTGCAGGTGCTCAAGGGGTTTTGAAGGTCTTGAGACCTGAGATTTTGAGGGTGTTGGAGGAGTCGAGAAGTTTTGGAGGCATTGGAATGGTTAAAAATATTGGAGAGATTTTGGAGAGGTACTGGAGATGTCAGAGAGATTTTGGGGAGTTTGGAGAGGGTTTGAAGGTGTTAGAGAAGCTTTGGAGACATTTTGGAGAGTTTGCGGGGGTTTTGGAGAGGTTTTGGAGGTGATGGAGAGGTTTGGGAGTAGATGGAGAGGTTCTGGAGGGGTTGGCATGTGTTGCAGGGCATTTTGGAGGTTTTGGGGAGGTTTGGAGGTTTGGGGGATGTTTGGAGGTTTTGGGGAGGTTTTGGGGTGATGCAGAGGCAGGTTTTGGAGATGTTTGGAGGTTTTAGGGAGGTTTGGAGGTTTTGGAGATCTTTGGAGGTTTTGGAGATGTTTGGAGGTTTTAGGGAGGTTTGGAGGTTTTGGAGATGTTTGGAGGTTTGGAGGTTTTGAGGAGGTTTGGTAGTTTTGGGGAGGTTTGGAGGTTTGGGGGATGTTTGGAGGTTTTGGGGAGGTTTGGAGGTTTGGGGGATGTTTGGAGGTTTTGGGGAGGTTTGGAGGTTTTGGGGAGGTTTGGAGGTTTGGGGGATGTTTGGGGGTGATGCAAAGGCAGGTTTTGGAGCCGGGGTTTTCCCTGATCCATTGGCACATCCAGGCCGTGTCTCCTCACCTGCTCCTCCCTGGGCACTTGCACCACCCTGCCTGGCCCAGGAGCAGCATTTTCCCTGGAGGGATGAGCAGGACTGGGGCCAGCTGGGGTCAGTGCTCTGCTGAGAGCGTGGAAATAAAATCCTCCGTGACGGAAAATCCTCCTGGAGACCCCACGGGGCCGCTCAGCCCTAAGCTCCTGGTGGAGCCCTGGGGACAGCTCCAGCCCCACAGATGGTTTATTCCCCCTCCTCCCGGTGTTTAATCCTCTAAAGGAAGTGCCAGCCTTTGCAATGTCCCCACAGGGCTGTTGTCCCCTCTAAAGCTCGTTAAGCTGCCAGGCTGAGCCACCTCTCGTCACTGCAGGTGCCACAGGAATTTGGGAACCATGAGGCATACTCTGATCTGTATCAGCATCACTGGTTTGGAGTTCCAGTGGTTCCCAGCTTCTTGATTTTGTGAGGGGGCACCTAGGAACTGGATTTCAGTTTTCAGTTCTCCTAACATTAATCCCCTGGATTAATGGATCTGGATCTCCCCACTAATGTCTTTGCTCCTGGCCAGGTCAGGCAATGGAAAACTGATGGCCACAAAGAGCTCCAGGCTGAGGCAAACCCGGGACATGGCAATAGCCAAAGGATTCCATGCCAAGAAGCTTTGTTGTCCCTGCTGAGGAGGGCTGGATGGGCTGGGGATTTGCCTTGTCCTGGCTCATTTCATTACTAAATTAAAAAAAGCCAGGACCCACGCCCGGAGCCCTGGTAACTCTTCAGGGGGCAGGAGCCAGGAGGCAGCACCGGCAGCACCAGGGTCGAGGCCCAGGGCCAGATCCAGGGCCAGCTTCGGCTCCAGTTGCAGGCTCAGGTCCGGGCCACGGCCCAGGCCTGGGTCCCAGCCCTTTCCCTTTCCCTTTCCCTTTCCCTTTCCCTTTCCCTTTCCCTTTCCCTCCCTTCCCCCGGATCCCATCCCAAGCCACACCCACAAGGGGGCGTGTCCATCAGTAACCACGCCCACAACGACACAGCCCAATCACCTCCCATTTCCTGCCGCGCGGGAAAACGCCTCCTGCGCATGCGCAGTGCTGTGGGGCGGGGCCAGGCTCAGCTCCGGCCGTGCCCTTCCCTCAGCGCCCCGCGAGGTGCCGCGCCCTTCTCCAAGATGGCGGCGGGCAGCGCGCTGTGCCGAGCTGCGCATGCGCGGAAGACGCTGCCCCGGCTCTGATTGGCTGCGGACGCCGGTGAGCGCTTCCGGTGGGAGGGCGGGGCGGGCCCGGGATGCGCCTGGCGTAGCCCCGGCACCGACACCGGCCCTGGACCCGCGCGGGCCGCGCCGCCCGCCGCTCCCGCTCCTCCTCCACCCGTCCTCCCGCGGCCCTGCCCAGCGCCCCGGGGCTCCCCGTCCCGCCGGCCGGGGGAGGCCCGGGGGCTGGGTGCCGGTAGCTCTCCGGTGTCGGTGGCTTCGCGGCCGGCGGGGCTCGCCGGTGCATGGGCGGGGAGGCCCCGCCGGGCACCGCCGGCCATGAGATGAGCACAGCGTGGCGCCCTGCCTAGAGCCGCCCCGGGGCTGCCGCGGCCATGGTGAGTTGGGGAGCCGGCGGGGACGGCAGGGATGGAAGGAAGGGGGATTGTCCCTCGGGGCCCGGGACACCGGAGCCTGGGGAACTGCGGGGTGAGGGGGCCGCTGCATCCCCCGAGCCACCGCAGTCACAGGATGTGAAAAGCCGGGAAGGCACAAATTTCTCCTGGGAGCGTTGGTGCCGGGGGGTGTCGGGAATTACAGGTTAATGGCGTTACAAGCGGCGAGGGTGCTGAGGGGGTGCCCAGAGAAGCTGTGGCTGCCCCTGGAAGTGTGCAAGGCCAGCTTGGACCGGGCTTGGAGCAGCCTGGGACAGTGGAAGGTGTTCCTGGACGTGGCAGGGGGTGGAACGGGATGAACTTCAAGGTCCCTTTTAACCCAAACCATTTCGTGATTAAGATTCCCCGGAGCCAGCTGTGGGCTTGCCCCCACGGCCTCCAGTTGTGCCTTGGATAAGCTGTAGGAATGACCTGGATTCTTTTCTGTGCTGGAGAGAGACATCGGCCTTCAGCTGCCTCCCCGCAGTGCCATCCGGGGCCACCGGCACACACGGGGACAGGGACAGCCCGCTCTGATTTGCTCTCGATAGAAGCCGGAGGAGAGGTCTCTGATCCCTTGGGTGCCTGCAGAGCCGGGCTGGCAGGGCTGGGAGGTGGGAATTGCCTCCAGGGGACCGGGGTGCTGCTCACTGTCACCATCCCAGAAATGCTGTTCTTGTTTTCCCCTTCTACCCACAGGGAGATCTTGTATCCCAATATTTCTTGGGATAACAAAGGGAAGTCACAAACGTGACCTTTGCAGGTGGGCAGGGAGTGGGGACACGCTTCTAGCAGTCCTGGATCTGCTCCTGGGACTGTCACCCAGAGTCCCACTGAGCACGGGCTGGAGTTTCTGGCCTAGTTCTCACCTCTTTCTATCTTAGCCTGCCTTAGGTGATGTAGGATCAGGCTTTGCACCCTTTTTCTCCCAGAATTTGGGATTCTAGTTGTGAATTTCTACACCCAAGAGCTGAGATAATCACATCTGCTCATTGTGTGATGTGCTCCTTGGTGTTTTATTGAAACTTTGCTCTCTGTAGCCCCTTTGCTGAGCTTCATTAGTCCCTTGGAGAGGCTTTGCTGCTCCATCTGGGATGTGCTGGGGTGGGACATGGTCTCCTCAGTAAATATTGGTAGTATTTTATGGCAGGTGTGTGGCTGGGGGTGCTCAGGGTGGGCTCCTGATGTGTCTGCCACGTGTCCCAGCTCTTTGTGGGTTTGGCTTCAGGCAAAGGGTGACACTTTTGAGGTGGATTCTTCTTAGTGAACACCCCAGGTTCAAAAAGGTGAATAAATGGTTTGCAGGATTTGGTCGGCCAAGGTGTGCACTTCACATTGCTGGTGGCAAAAGGGACTCGTTCATTCTTCCCTGTGGACACACACACATTTATCCTCCTCAATCACCTCTTGTTTTCTTCTTCTTTTCCCTTGGACATTCACTGTTTGGCTCAGCCACAAATCCTGCCTGTGGAAGTTGAGAAGCAGTCCCTGGGCTGTGCTGCAGGATTTACTGTTGTAACTCATCATGTGACTCCTGTGCAAGATTTTCCTTCTGTTCCATTTCCCTGGAGCCTGCAGATGGGCATGTTCTGCTGCTAGTGCACCCTCCTTCCCGGAAACAGTTGGGAAAGTGTGAAGATGGGCTGCTGGAAGGCACACAGGGAACAAATAAAACATAATTAAACTCTGCTCCAGAATAACAGGCTGCTGAGAGCAGATTTTCCTTAGTGGGGTTGTATTGGGTTGATATGGAAGGGAATGAGCAGGGATGAATTAGAGCTTGATTAACTGGGCAGGAATTTTGGGAGGAAGTTGGGATGGCAGGAGGGAATGCAGTGATGCACAGTGAGATCAGGCACTGCAAATGTTGTAGAACAAGTGTAGAAGTGGGCTTAGTTACCACTCATGGCTCAGAAATCTTAATGCCACTCAAAATTTGGGTTCAGAGGAAGCTTTAGTCATTCTTTGCTTTCAGAGGTGTTTGCAGAGAGCTCTGTGTGGTGGTTCCTGGGGCTGCTCTGCTGTGTGTCAGTAGTGCTTGTGCAGTGTCCACTTTGGGGCTTGCTGAGGGAAAGGTGGTGAGGATGCTGTGGTGTCTCTGTAGGGAAATCAGGATATTGCAAAATCCAGGTGGGTTTCTGTGGAGTTCATCTCTAAACACACAGAGCACATCCAGCTTCAAGCTTTTCTTCCACAGACCATAAATTATTACATTATTTCCTCCTCACCTTTTAGGATCCTTTTAGAGGATTTTATGAACACCTTCCAAGTAAATATTGATCATGGAGCTGTCCTTGAAGGGATTTATTTTCTGTCCAAGTAAGCCGTGTCTCTGTCTCATCACTCTTTCCTTCACCTTTGTTCCTTGCATAGTGAAGATGAACCATCTTTGGAGCCCTGAGAGCTCAGCTGGGACCTCCTGAGCAAACCACTCACCTGGGAATTGCATTTGCAGCTTCCATATGAGGCTGGAATTTCAGTGATTGCCTCCTAGGAAATACATTCTTCAGTTATGTGGGATTTGTGTCCTGCCAACAACTAAAACAGCCTAGGAACAGGGACTTCCAGGAAATGCTGCTGTGTGAGGTTTGGGATGCAGGGATGCTGAAGAACTGCAGCCAAGCTTCTCCCAGAACAAATCACACTTCCCTCAGGTTATCCCTGGGCTCCCAGGCGAGCAGACAATGGAAGTGGCAGGCCAGCTCCAGGGAGTCTCGTGTCCCTGTTGTGTGTGAGGCACAAGGAGCTGCTGAAATGGGAGCAGGCAGTGGGCGTCTGCAGCTTGGATGTTTCTGACTTTCCCACAGCAGCATCCTGCCTTTTATTCCATAGCCTCTCTCAGCACCTTCCTGTTTTGTAGCAGTAAGTGCTGTCGTTTTCTTGTGCCTGAAGCTGCCTGCTGATGGTTGAAGCCTTTCATCCAGGAAGGAGTGCACAGTGTGTGTGGATTGCAGCAGGTCCTGCCAGGTAGGGCTGGTGAGCCCTGGGTTATCCTGGTGCTCGTGGTTGCCAAGGAGCTCCTGCTCAATTACCAGAATAGCTCCTGTTTATTCTGTGTCAGCCTTGCTGAGCTGCTGGCCCTGAGGCTGGGAGCCAGAGCCGCTTTGGGGAGCGTTCCTGCTGTGTGCAGGTGACCTAGGACATTGTGACAGGAGGGAGCAGCAGCTTCGTGCTCCTGCAGAGCCCATTGGCCTGGCTGTCCCATCACCCTGGGGACACTCGGGCCTCATGCAGGCTGTTCTCCTGTCCCTGGCACAGGGGAGCCCAGGGGTGCTGTGCTGCCTGTCCCTGGCACAGGTGAGCCCATGGGTGCTGTGCTGCTGTCCCTGGCACAGGTGAGCCCAGGGGTGCTGTGCTGCCTGTCCCTGGCACAGGGGAGCCCATGGGTGCTGTGCTGCTGTCCCTGGCACAGGGGAGCCCAGGGGTGCTGTGCTGCCTGTCCCTGACACAGGTGAGCTCAGGGGTGCTGTGCTGCCTGTCCCTGGCACAGGGGAGCTCAGGGGTGCTGTTCTCCTGTCCCTGGCACAGGGGAGCNCAGGGGTGCTGTTCTCCTGTCCCTGGCACAGGGGAGCTCAGGGGTGCTGTTCTCCTGTCCCTGGCACAGGGGAGCCCAGGGGTGCTGTGCTGGGAGGAGATGGGGAGGCTGCTGCTGCTGCCCAGGCAGGAAGTGCTGGCACTGGTGAGGTGGGCTCAGCTTCACAGCAGGGTTTTGGGATGAAGAGGGAGCTGAGGGTGTTGTCCCCTCCCTGTGTCCCCCAGCAGTGCCAGCTGAGGTGCAGCATCAAAACTACACCCCTAAGGCTGAGGTTCTGTCTGCTCTCAGTGCATCCCCTTCATGTGCAGTTAAAATAAAAGCAAACCCTTTGTAGAACCCTCCTGACTCAATCAGCTGCTGAGCAGAGAAACCAGAGAGTAGGAACTCGGAAGTTCCGGCCTCAGCTCCAACATCTGGCTTCCTTTTTTGGCCAGCAAGTCATATTGTGACTTTGTGTGCCCCCCAGTTATGTCCCTTCTATTAAATCATCAAACTGGAGATGGTGATTAATGCTGGGGAACTTTCCTATCTCTGCAGCAAGGCCTGGGTAGCTCTGGAGATGAATCAGGAATGGGAACTGTGGCAGGAGAGCTGATCTCTGCTCGGATGCTTCCTCCAAAAGCAGAGCTTTTTCTCAGAAGAAAACAGCTCATTTAGCATAATGGCTGCACATGATCCCTTTCAGGACCTATAATAATTCCAATACATCCATATTTCAAAGACCTGGGTAGCTAAATGTAGGCTGCAGAAGGACTAAAAGCTATCAAGACAAAATTGTTGAGCCTCCAGGTTCACTAAACGAGCTTGAAAGGCTCATTTGCACTGGCTGTTGCTGATGGATGGGTGCTGCTGGTTGTAATTATTTCAGCAGAAAAGCATTAAAATCTGGCAGGTACCACAAAGCTCCTGCCATGGGGTTCAGTGCTGTGCAGAGATCACTCCAAGCACAGAGACCCAAAAACTCCAAGAACTTTGGGTTCAGTTGGGTGAATTAATTGCACATTGTTAGGTGGTGTCATTTAGGAACTAAGTAGCTGCTGTTAGTGTGGCATTTATACATTATTGTATGCAAAGTGGAAGGAAATGTAGCTTTGAGGTGTATGGGCTGATACCTGTGTGGTAGAATGTGCCCTAAAATCCTTCCAAATCATTATCCTCTATCAGACAGCAGATATTTCCTCCTAGGAACTATAATTGTATTTGGGTCACTGCTGCTTTCTCTGCATCCCAGGTGTCAACATGACAACCTTCTTTGAGAGAAAGAAAAGGTGTTTGCTGCTTTGTTTTATCAAAAGAAAATGTTTAGACTCCCTTTTATATAGAATAATTTTTGGAATCCCATTTCCAGCATTTATGAAGTATGCAGCATGTGCCTGTTCTCCCTTGAAGGCCTCATTGTTCCATCCAAAATGTAAATATTAATATTTTG